ATATCTGCTGAACTCTGTTTTGAAAATTTAATTTGGTTCAACATCCTCTGCTTTTTTGAGAAGAAAATTCCAAATTACTAATCTTGTTCTAGATTGTCCCATTAAAAAAGTTTCACTTTATTTACCTTATTGAATTTCTTTACCATTCTAGGCACCTTAATTAAATAACCTCTCATTTTCTGAATGCAAAGGAGTAAAAGAAACAAATCATTCAATCTGTCCTCTTAAATTAACCGTTTAAGCCCTGTTAAATATCTGGCGAATTTACACTTTCCTTCCATATAACGTTTGTGAACTTCTTCGAATGATTCACTTCCTGACCCTAAAGTCTCTTCACCTTCAGTTCAGGACTCAATTTAGGGGTGTGATGAAATACTGACTATGAAGCTAGATTGGTGAAATTGCAAAAAACTTTTTAGAAATCTTGTATGATCCATGACTGAGCAGTCGTCTTGGCCAGAATCCTGTCACTAGGTTCAATAACTACTTCTTCCATCACCAATGTCTTACAATAACTGCACATACTATCTACATGGTGTTGTTCCTTCACTGTCACTGGGTCAGTGTCTTGAAATTGCTTACCAAATATTGTCAGGAGACATCAACCCCACAAGAACTACATCGATTCAAGAATGCATCCCGTCAACTATTTAAGGTAACCTTGCATGGGAAATAAATGCACACGCCCCAGAGTTTTCATAATTTGTGGACAAATAAAAGCACTTATGCTGTAATTTCTTCAAAATAATTTTAAGATTATGCAAGATCTTCTCCAAAATTCAAGTTAGTAACTTCTTATTTGTATAAAAGCTTTTAAAATTTATACCAGCAACAATTTGTGATTATGTTTATACAATGTAAAAGATGCCTAATTTTTCATGAGATTGTATCTTGTTCTGAATATTATGAAATTACCATCTTGGTTTAATATTCCACTGCAAGTTAACAACTACAGGATATAAAGATTTCTGTATAGTTGATATAACGAATGCAACAAATACTTTAGTTGTAATTGAGCAAAAATCTATCTCGTCACATAAATATATAATATTTATAAATTGCTTTCTTTAAAAATGTACGGTGTGATTGTTCTTACCTTGATTATTTTACCATATGAAAATAATGCCCAACATGTGAATCTAGTGGTATTCATTTAAAATCTTGTCACTGGAACGCATTACAGAACAGTTTGTTGTACTACATAGCGAGCAGTTACTGTTTATGAATATTTTATAATGAGTATTGGATAAGGTGCTCGCAAATAGATTGAGTTTCTTCCCAAGAACCAATTGAATGTCACAAAATTTATCAGTAGAAACCCTTGCTCTATTTGTCACGTTCGGATTTCTAAAATGGCCTATGCAGGAGATGCAAATTAACAATCACAGTCAACAATTTATTTGAGTATATAATTATGCTGGAAATTCTGCATGTCTGAAAAGTTTTACATTTATTTTATGGAGAGCATTTTGTTTCTTTAAAGATTTAAATCTTGACCCAAGTTTCTGTTCAGAACTTTAAAACTGACATTAATGTTAAAAAGGATGTAAGTAGAATTATTGTAGTATTGCCTTCTGATTACACTAGGTCAGAAATCCCACAACACCAGGTTATAGTCCAAGAGGAGGGACTGAGGCTCCAAAAGCTTGTGTTTTCAAATAAATCTGTTGGGACTGTAACCCGGTGTCGTGGGATTTCTGACCTTGTCCACCCCAGTCCAACACCGGTACCTCCACATCCTCATTACACTAAACAGTTACCTAAGCAAGCCTAGTTTAATATTAATGACCAATGATCTGTACCACTGATTGGACATAAATTGTGCAATAAAATGTATTTAATTTAACCCCCATATTTATCAATTCACTTCGATGATATGTAACATTATCTTTAAAGATTATTCTGCTTCAAATACTCTTAGTTCAGAGAAAATACTTCTTAAATGTTTTTATAATTGCTACCAAGCCAATGTTTAATGAAAATGGTTTTGGTGCCATGACATTCATCTAAATGGAGATGCTGGGTGACCAGTGAAACTTTTGAAACAAAGGTAAAATATTGCAGATGTTAGAAACCTGAAATAAAACCTGAAGATACTGGAAATACTCAACAGGTCAGGCAGTAGCTGTGCAGAGAGAAACTGACTTAATGTTTCAAATTGACCTGTTAAGTAGCTCCAGTTTGTTTTTGTTTTATTTTTATTTATGTGAAATTTATTGTTTCCTTTATCTCATATACCTAACTGAATCAATTCATTTTATCATGCCCAACGGATAGTTGTCAAGCAAATTTAATTAAAGTTATTTTTAATTCCACATTTGTATATGACTAGAAGACTTCTGATATTTTTAGATGGAATGTTTTTATATCACAGAATAAGGTAAAACATGATCACTTGCATTAAAAATGTTTTTAAAGGATAAAACAAAAATTTGAGTTTGTCTTAATGTGATTTTAGTATAAGTAACAATTTAAGTTTTGATGTATAACTGCATACATTAGATTATTGTTAAGACCATAGAGTATACCCTTTGTAATTTTTAAGATTGCGGTATATACTTGCTGTAAATAGAATTGATAAGCAAGTCATTTTAGTCTAGTGTGTGTAAGCAATTTATATGCACTGCTCCAAAAGTCAGTATGAGTACACCATCAGTTTTGAGTTGAATGGAATCAGGAACAAAAACAGAAGTTGCTGGAGAAGCTCAGCAGATCTGGCAGCACCTGTGAAGAAAAAGTCAGAGTTAATATTTCGGGTCCGGTGACCCTTCGTCAGAATGGATCAGGTTCATTGAGAAGATTGCATTCTGGTGATACAAAGTAATTACAAGTAGGAACTGCTACCATGAGCACAGTTAATAAAACAAGGCACTTACGTGTTATGTAAATAAATGCAACAATTTGCAATGTAACTGTACAGGAGATGGTGAAAACTTTTAAAACATTTTAGTGACTAATTTGAGTTGTGATTATTTTTACAGATACACTACAGCATCAAGAATAAATGCTATTAATATACAATAGACTTAATTGTCTTCCATGCCTTTGATTGCACGGAATCAAGATGAAGTGCATTTTAAAATCTAGAAGAGCAAGGGAGACGGGAGGCAAGGCAGAAGTAGTGAGGAGCAAGGAAAATGTGATCGTCAGAGAAAAAGAGTTTGGACTTGAGTGGTGAAGGGTATGAAGAAAATCAAAGGTGACTGATTGGAAGCTAAAGGAATTACAATTACAATGTACTTCAATCAAAGGGAAAGAAAATGGCAGTTTTGAAATATGTGGATGCAGCTTGAGGAAATGAACCATTTTTAAATAAAAACGGAAAGAACTGCAGATACTGGAAATCAGAAACAAAAGCAGAAATTGCCAGAAAAGCTCAGCAGGTCTGGCAGCATTTGTGGAGAGAAATCAGAGTTAATGTTTTAGGTCCAGTGACCCTTCCTGTTCTGAGGAACTGCTGAGCTTTTCTGTTTTTTGAGCCATTTTTAAATGTCAGTTCGCGTATAGAATGGGAAAAGAAGTTAGATGTTAGTTTTATCAAGGAAAGATGTATTGGCAGTGGAGGTAGTCCAGGCAAGGTTCGCTAGGCCGATACCAGGCATTAAGAGACTGTCTTACGATGAGACATTGAGTAGATTGGGCCTGTAGTCATTGGAATATAAAAGAAAGAGGGGCAGACTTATTGAAAAATACAAAATTGTTAGAGGACTTGACAGGATAGATGTGCAAACGTTGTTTCCCCTTGTGAATGTGTCCAGGACCAGAGGGTGTAATCTCAGAATAAGATATTACATGTGTAAAACTGAGATGAGGAAGAATTTCTCCTGAGGGTTGTGAATCTGTAGAATTCTTGACCACAGGGGGCTGTTGAGGCTGGGGAATTAAGTACATTCAAGGCTGAGATAGACAGATTTTTAATGATTAAGGAAATCAAGAGTTAGCGAAAAAAGGCAGGAAAACAGAATAAAGAAAATTACAGCACAGGACCAGGACCTTCGGCCCTCCAAGCCTGCGCCGAGCCAGATCCTCTATCTAAACCTGTCGCCTATTTTCCAAGGATCTGTATCCCTCTGCTCCCTGCCCAGTCATGTATCTGACTAGATACATCTTAAATGACGCTATCATGCCCGCCTCTACCACCTCTGCTGGCAAAGCATTCCAGGCACCCACCACCCTCTGCATAAAGAACTTTCCACGCATATCTCCTTTAAACTTTTCCCCTCTCACCTTGAAATCGTGACCCCTAGTAATTGAGTCCCCCACTCTGGGGGAAAAAGCTTCTTGCTATCCACCCTGTCTATACCTCTCATGATTTTGTAGACCTCAATCAGGTCCCCGCTCAACCTCCGTCTTTCTAATGTAAATAATCCTAATCTACTCAACCTCTCTTCATAGCTCGTGCCTTCCATACCAGGCAACATCCTGGTGAACCTCCTCTGCACCCTCTCCAAAGCATCCACATCCTTTTGGTAATGTGGCGACCAGAACTGTACGCAGTATTCCAAATGTGGTCGAATCAGAGTCCTATACAACTGTAACATGATCTGCCAACTCTTGTACTCAATACCCCGTCTGATGAATGAAAGCATGCTGTATGCCTTCTTGACCACGCTATCGACCTGCATTGCCACCTTCAGGGTACAATGGACCTGAACACCCAGATCTCTCTGTGCATCAGTTTTCCCCAGGGCTTTTCCATTTACCGTATAGTTCGCTTCGCTCTTGAAGTTGAAGATTATCAGATTGACCATGATCTCATCGAATGGCAGGATAGCTTATTTCTGCTCCTATGTCTTATGGTCTGATGGTGATGTTTTAGTGCAATTAGGGTTGAGGAAACTGCAGGTGTCAATTGTGAATGTGATTAACTTAGAACAACATGGTAATTGAGCTGAAGGCTCGCATATAAAAAGGGTCCAAGGCTAGAATTTGGAGAGATTTGTTCAAGATCCTTGATGCTCAAGGTGGTTCACTAAATGATTTTGATGCCCCTTTAACAGACCTTGCACACATGTCCCATTTTGGTAGGTACAACCAGGAACAATTTTGAAGGAAAGAAAGTTGTTCGACTTGAATATGAAGCTTATATTTCAATGGCTGAAGCTGAAATAAAGAAGATTTGCAGAGATATGAGGCATAAATGGCCAATGATTCAACATATCAGTATCTACCATAGACTTGGGTAAGTTATTCATGTTGAATATTCTGTGCTCAGGATCTCATATGGTATTGAGGGAGGGGAATAGCAACAGTAAAAGGAAAAGAGCCACAAATAGAGCCTATTTTAACTTGTGTTTTCCTGTGGTATCCTGTATAAAGCACATAAATAAAGATTTGGGATAAAATTAATTTTTGTTTTTGTAATGAGCAAATTGTTAATGTCATTAATATCAAGGGGTAATGACTAAACCTCTTTCTTGTTGGAAATAGTCATTGTGTGGCACTTATGGCATGACACTGATCAGCCTAAACCTTAAAATGTCCAGGTTTTGCTTCATTTGGATAGGGACTTGTGGAATTGAGAATAGTGTTGAACATTTTGCATTCATCAATGAATGTTCCATTTCTGACTTTATGATGGAGGGATGGCATTGATAAAGCAAATGAAGATTGTTGGACCTAGGACAGTAGTACCTCATAGACTCTGGTAGAGATGCTTGGAACTGAGGTGACTGACATCCAACAACTGTAATATCCTATGTACCAGGTATGACTGCATCCAGCAAAGATTTTTCCCCTTGATTCCCATTGACTTCTGTTTTGCTAGGGCTTCTTGATGTCACACTCATTTAAATGTGGCCATGGTGTTAAAGGCACTGTTACCTCACCTCTGGAATTTGTCTTTTTTGTTCCATGTTTCAACGAAGACTGTAAGGAGGTCAAGATGAGTGTGGCCCCGGCGAATCCAAACTGAATGTCACTGAGCAGGTTATTGCTAACTCAGTGCTGCTTGTTAACACAGTTGATGAAACATTTCTTCACTTTACTGATGATTGGGAGTAGACTAATGGTGTTAATTGGCTGAGTTCTATTTAGGTTGTAGACATGTTTGCTGAGCCGGTGCGTTTCGATGCAAATGTTTTGTCACCCTGCTAGTTAACATTGTCAGTGCGCCTTTGGTGAAGCATTGGTGTTTGTCCTGTTTGTTATTTATATGCCTCAGTTTGTGGTTCTGTCTCTCAGTGGTTTGCACACAGGGTCTAATTCAATGTGTTTTTTGATGGAGTTCCGGTTCGAATACCAGGCCACCAGGAGTTCCCTGGCATGTCTCTGTTTGGCTTGTGCGATTATGGATGTGTTGTCCTAGTCAAATTCGTGTCCTTCTTTGTCCGTGTGTAGTGAGACAAGTGAGAATTGGTTGTGTCTCTTGGTGGCTAGTTGGTGTTCATGTATCTGTATTGTCAGTTTTCTTCTAGTTTGGACAATGTAGTGTTTCTCACAGTCCTTGCATGGTATTTTGTATATTACCCTGGTTTTGCTGGTTTTGGATATGGGGTTATTCACGTTGATCAATAGCTGGTGTCAGGTAGTTGTTGGTTTGTGGGCTACTCTGATACCTCGGGGTCTGAATAGTCGTGTGTTCATCTCTGATGTGTCCTTGATGTACGGTAGGTGGTTAGTGTATCTGGTCATGTTGTGTCTTCTTGTTGTAGTCTGTCTCGGAGGTAATGGCCAATTGTGTTTTTTTGGGTTTCCACTCCTTTTGAAGACTCTGTATATGTGCTCCTGTTCTGCTTTGCGTAGCTCTGGGTTGCTGCAGTGTGTTGTGGCTCGTTGCATTGCAGCAACCCAGAAATGTGCAAAGCAGAATAGGAGTATCAATACAGATTTTTCAAAAGGAATGGATACCCTAAAAGCACAATCTGCTGTTACCTCTGAGACAGACCACAACAGGAAGACATAACATGACCCGACTCACTTATCACCCTACCATACATCAAGGACGTATCAGAGATGAGCACACGACTACTCAGACCCCTAGTATGACAGTAGCCCACAAACCAACAACCACCCTGCAGCAGCTACTGATGACTGTAAAGTACCCCATACCCAAATCCAGCAAAACCAGGGTAATATACAAAATACCATTCAAGGACTGTGAGAAACATTACATCGACCAAACCAGAAGAAAACTGACAATAAGGATACACAAACACCAACTAGCCACCAAGAGACACAACCAATTCTCACTTGTCTCACTACACACAGACAACGAGGGACACAAATTCAACTCGGACAACATATCCATAATTGCACAAGCCAAACAGAGACATGCCAGGGAATTCCTGGAGGCCTGGTATTCTAACTGGAACTCCATCAACAAACGCATTGAATTAGACCCTGTGCACAAACCACTGAGAAACAGAGCCGGAAGTGGTACCAAACACCCCAACAAACTGAGGCATATAAATAACAAACAGGACAGAACGCCAACGCTTCACCGGAGGTGCACTGATGATGTTACCTAGCAGGGTGACAAAACGTTAGCAACCAAACCCACTGGCTCGGCGAGCATGTCTACAACCTCATCCACAAGTGGAGCTACAAATCTTCTCAAAAACTTTAAACACCTACGAGTTTGATTTATCCCGGTTTTTCTGTACAATGTCATACCTGACAACTTTCCAACTTGTTTAGTAGATGCCAGTGTTGTTGCTGTCCTGGAACTACTCGAGCACATTTCTTCAGATTTATTGTTGGAATGTTGTCAGGGCCCACAGCCTTTGCAGTGTCCAGTGCCTTCAGTTGTTTCTCAGTATCAGGTGTGTCTCTCTCTATACATCTCTCTCTCTGTATACATCTGTCGCTCTCTCTATGCCATCTGTGATGCTGGGGAATCTGCAGAGAAGGCCAAGATGGATCATCTGCTCAGCATTTCTGGTGAAAATTGCTGCAAGACCTCAGTCTTCTCTTTTATCCTGATGCTTTGGGCTCACTTGCCATTGAGGATGGGATATTTGTGGAGCCTTATCCTACAGGGAGTTTTTAGTTGTCCACCACCATTTAATACTGGATATATCAGAACCGCGGTGTTTGTGTCTGATTTGATGGGTGTAGAACTGCTTAGCTCTATCACGTGGTGCTTTCACCATTTGGAACATGAGCAATCCTGTGTTGTAGCTTCAAGGTATGCCTGGTGCTGCTCCTGGCATGTCCTACTACACTCTCCATTGAACCATGGTTGATCCCCTGGCTTGACAATAATGGTAGAAATTGGGATATGCTGGGCCATGAGGCTGCAGATTGTGCTGGAGTACAATTCTGATGCTGCTGGTAACCCACAGCACCTCGTGAATGCTCAGTTCTGAGTTGCTCAATCAATTTGAAGTCTGTCCTGTTTAGCACGGTGATAGTACCACACAACATGATAGAGGTTGTTGTCAATGTTCATCTCCACAAGTACTGTGCGGTGGTCATTCTTACTGATACAGTCATGGACAGATGAGGCTGCAACTGCCAGATCGGTGAGGATGAGGTCAAGCTTTTCCCCGCTTGGTTCCTTCACCAATCGCTGCAGGCTCATTGAAACAGTATGTCCTTTAGGACTTGACCAGTTTGGTCAGTAATGGTATTGCTGAACCATTATGATGAAGTCTCTTACTCACTGTACGTTTTGTGCCCATGTCACCCTCCTTGCATTCTTCCAGTGATGTGCAACAGGGAAGAGTAGTGACTCATCATTTAAGGAGGGAGTATGTAGTAATGAACAAGGTGTTTCCTTGCCTATGTATGACCTTTAAGCTATGAGATTATGTGAGGTGCGAAGGAATGCTGGGGACCCTGAGAGCAACTCCTGACATATTACTGTGCCACCATCTCTGTTGGGTCTATTGTGTTGCTAGAATATATCCAGGGATGCTGATGGGACATTGTGAGTAAGATATGATTCTGATAATATGACTGTATCAGCCTGTTGATGAACTAGTGTGTGAGAGAGCTTTTGCAATTTTTAACACAAACCTTGGATTTTGGGAGGGAGAACGTTTTTGTTTTGAAATATTTCAGTGGTTTGATACAATTGAGTTCCTTGCTAGAGGGCAGTTACGAGTCAACCATACTGCCCTCAGACTGGAGTCGCATTTAGGCTAGATAAGACTAGGTAACAATTTACCCTCCCTTATTTATATTAGTGAACCAGATGTATTTTTGCAACAATCGACCATGGTGTTATGGGCATCATTTGACTTTTAATTCCAGATTTTTGTGAATTCGAGTTCCACCATTTGCAGTGGTGAGATCTGAACCTGGATTCCCAGAACGTTACATTGGTCTGTGGATTACCGGCCTAGTAAACAATACCAATGCCATCGTCACCTCAGTGTGAGATGTTCTCTGTCTCCTTGCTCTCTGTCCATCACACCAGTCTTGTTTTGCATTTTAGTGACTTCATGGATATCATTGTATGATTGTTGACGTCTTGAATCAGTCCATCAGGACACTGGTCACTGTCATCTTAAGGACACAGGAATAGGTATAGGTCATTTAACCCCTCCATTGCCCATCAACATCACCACATAAGTTTGCACATGGCCCATTTTTCTCCTGATCCCTATCTTTGTTTTGTGACTCATTATTCTTTGTATCTTTCTCATTTGTTTTTACATTTTTGTACGTGTTTTGTCTTGCTTAAAAAGGAGAAGCAGGTTTGATATAACTTTTCTTTTATTTGAATACCTTCCACTCATCTGCCTTCATTTCCACCATAACGCACGCCTGTGGTTAGCCCTGCTGCCTCAAAGCACCAGGGACCCAGGTTCGATTCCAGCCATGGGCGACTGTCTACGTGGAGTTTGCACATTCTCTTCGTGTCTGCGTGGGTTTCCTCCGGGTGTTCTGGTTTCCTCCCACAGGCCAAAGATGTGCAGGTTAGGTGGATCGGTCATGCTAATTTGCCCCATGGTGTCCAGGTGTGTGCATGCTAGATGGATTAGCCATGGAAAATGCTGGGTTACAGGGATAGAGTAGGGGGGTGGATCTGGCTGGGATGCTCTTCAGAGGGTCGGTGTGGACTCAATAGGCCAAATGGCCTGCTTCCACAATGTAGGGATTGTAACTATTGAAATTGTCATAACAGTACATTTTCCCACTACTCCTCTCTTCCCACACTCCCACTGGAGCGACAAGTTATCACCCTGAACCTTCCCTCAGTCACCCTCATCCTGCCTTCCATGCCCTTAGAATGACCACCTTCATTTGATCAAGCTTCTAGCTGTCACCCTCAACCTTCCCTCTATCACTGTTGACTTGTCCTTCGTTTCCTTGATCTCCCTTCTTGCTTGCTTCCAGTAAAAATTATTCCTCCTACTGAGGTTCCCTCCGTATATCCAATACCATTCTACTTAAAGCCACTACAACATGGCTGTCTTCCTTGGACAACCATGCCCGATCTCCTCTAACTACCCTCCCTCCCACAAATGGCCATGTCTTAACCTCCCTGGACACTGTCCACCTGAGCTCAAAGCAACAGCTCAGTCTTCGCTTCCCTGATCCAACAGGAAAAGCAGTGCCTAGTTTCTCCAAATCCAACAGGAAGATTACCTTGCCTCCTGCACTTCTACTCTGTTGTGAATCTGAAGGCACATGTTTCTTGTTTGCTGCTCACTTAATCATAAATGTGTAATTTATTCTAGCAACCAATGATTATTGAAAATGTAGGACATGCTAATAAATTAAAAATAGATTACTGTTGCTTGCTGTGGGCACCTTGATCTGCCTTTAATCCCCCAACAACCTAATTCCAACATTTCATTTCCCAACTGCCCCAGTCAGGAAGCTGGTGTTTTGCCTTTTGCAGAGTTAAGTGACTTGTCCCACCATTTTTCAGCCCCAGGATCTTTGGTAGATACCGTCCCTCCCAGCAGGTATGGTTTAATTAGATTGATGCATGGAATTAATTGGGACACTGAAAATGACTAGATGTTCTGGTCCTAAACAGCACAACACTACACTGAAAAATGAAGGCTGATCAAAGAAATGTGTTTTCATGTAAATAACATTTGAAGGTTACACCAGCGATTTGTTAGCTGGTGTGTTTTTGATCATCTGTTTCAGGGTTTAAATTTGTCTTTTGTTAATCAAAATATTTTTCATTAAGATTGTTTCTGATTCCATTTTTAACTTTGTAATTCTGCAGAGTAGTTGATATAACGGAAGCAAGTGTAATCATAGCCATCTCCTCTCCACATAGAAGTGAGTCTCTTGAAGCAGTGAAATATTGCATTGCGACTTTGAAAGCAACAGTACCAATATGGAAGAAGGTATGCACTTTGACATCTGGGGATGAAACTTTGCCTGTGGCAGTGGTGTAATGTTGACATCAGCAAATTGGCTAACCCTTGATTTGGAACGCTGAAAGATGCATTTCACTCACTCGATACGTTTTCAAAAAATACTTTCCAAATTCTCTCTTTGTTTAACCTGTCATCAAGATTTGATTGTCCAAGCAACAGAAACAAGGATGGCATATTCCAGCGTGCAGTTATTTCTCAAATTTTAATCACCCACTGACTTGAAGGTTGGAGTAGGGCTGTGGATGTGGGGATGCAGATAGAATGCTACAAAACTTCATTAAAGAGTATCTCTGGGAAAATAGAAGATTCTGCTGCAGAAACACTTTTTAGTCTTTTGCTTTAGATGACACCAACTATTTATACTTCCACCCTCTATGAAAGTTCTCCCTCCATCTTCCAAAAGTGAATTTCCATCTCCTGTCATTGAACAGCAAATTTCATAGTTTCTACTCATGCTAGTCCTCTCAACTACATGAGAGATGTGCAAGTTCAAACAGATTTGTACTTCTGCAGATTAAGTTCAGCCAAATTTTAAATCAAAACTGTGTCGCCTCTGACTCCAGAGTGCTTCCTCTCTATGCTTCATGTTTTTAATGTATTTGTTGTCACAGTGTATACTCTTGAGCTTCATCTCACTGTAACTCGTGTGCCTCAAGTTTGAGGTGCCTGGGAGCTTCATGTTAGTGAGAGGCCGCTGGCTTTGTGTTTGGCTCTGCAATTTCCTAGACCATCCAACTCAGGCTGTGGGTGGAGCACATCTCTGCCTCTTTTCTGGCATATGTGAAGTTATCAGAGTGTAATCATTGGAATGGTGCAAATGCGCATCTATCAGGAGAGACAGCTACACCATCCATTGCTATTTTATATCTGTTACTGCTCCTCTGGTCTGTGTTACTATGCTTAACAAGTTGGACTGAATGGCATGATGTGTCACAAAGTATATGAGGTCACTAGCATATGCCTCTACATCTTCAGAAAACTAGCTGATAAAGTGAAACCAGTCTGTGACGTGGAGCCTATCTATGATACTGGCATTTCTTTACTAATTGAAAGCTGTGGTATTGGTGAGAATGTGAAACAACAACAGAATGGAGAAACAACACTCATATGCCTTTTTCAAGATTTGGTCAATTAATTAAAGATTCAGAACACCAATTTGATGGTTTTGATCCAGCTTTTGCAAGCCTATATCACAGAGGATAGGGGAGGCGATGACCTAGTGGTTTTATCGCTAGACTATTAATCCAGAGACCCAGATAGTGTTCTGGGGACCCAGGTTTGAATCCAGCCACGGCTGATCGTGGAATTTGAATTCAATTAAAATATCAGGAATTAAGAATGTAATGATGACCATGAATCCATTGTTGATTGTCGGAAAAACCCAACTGGTCCACTCATGTCCTTTGGGGAAGGAAGCTGCCATCCTTACTTGGTCTGGCCTGCATGTGAATCCAGACCCACAGCAATGTGGTTGACTTTTAACGGCCCTTTGGGCAATTAGGGATGGGCAATAAATGCTGCCTAGCCAGTGACACCCTCATTCCGTAAATGAATAAGAAAAAGAAACACAATAATAACACAACCATTTAGAAATGCAAATGTTAAGAGCATGATGATTTCTGTTTTTGAAAAAATTTATTTTATATCTGTTTATAATTTAGGAGATTTATGATACAGAAGAATATACCTGGAAGGAAAATAGGGAATGTCAGTGGGCACAGAATGGACAGAAATAATTATCACAGGATGTGTTGCTGAAGCAAGTAACTTTGAGTCAAAGTAAAGTGATTAATGAATTAATTGAAAATGGTGATTTGCCTTTGCACTGTAGTTGTATGTACAAAAATGACATGACAAGCAAACTCTACATAATGCTATACTTTAATATAAAAATATGTATGATCTTTTCATGTTATGAATTTTCAATCTGTTGAAACCTGTTGAGTGGATGCCTTGTTAATGCAAGTTAATTTCATTCTGTTTATAAGCACATTTTTAAACAAGCATATGCAAAAATGTTATTCAAAATTAAATTCTGAAGAAAATTATGTTCAAAGGGATCTTTTCTATAAATTTTAATATGTAAAAGCTGTTCTGTGCTTACTCGGTTTGTTACTCTATTTAGCTCTGAAAATAAATTTAAAGTATAATACCGTTTTTCTTCTCCTTGTGCATTAAAAATTGCAGGAAAATTAATTGTTGAAAATATGGAATTGACCAGCATGAAAAATATTTGCCAGATGTTTTTAGTACATGATTGTCTACTTCATTTGCAGTAGTATGCTCTATATTATAAAGTGATGAAATTTAAATTTTAAAATACGTAATGGTGACCTATGTATGCAGAACATAGTATTTTCAGCAGTGAACATTTGTGAAACAATTATGAATTATTCTGTGATTTACAATGTGTGCAACTGGAGTTTTCACAGCCATAAATACAGGATTTTAACTGGTTTGAATTTTTCTTTGAATGGCAGCAAATTGACAAGCACATAGAGAGCTAAAAATATTAGATTTGGGAAGGAAAACTGTTCTAAAGTTGAAATCAGAATCATTGAAGCAAATTTCATAATTTGTATGTTTAAATAAAAAAAATCATGCTACTGCAACTATTTGTTGGATGTCTTTTTGATAAGAACACTCTGGACTTAGTAGAATTCTATTGTGTTTTCAGTGGGGCTGGTTTGCTACAGTAAAGGTCATTTAAAAGACAGTGGGCCCCTACTTCTTGTTGAGAATCTGTCTTTATAGTGGGGAGAGAACAGAACATTGTTGTAAGGGTGAATTTCAGTGCAGACTTACCCAACATAACTGGTAGAAAAGCCCCAGAAGGCCTCAAAATGGCAAGAGCTTCACAGAAATTAACCAGACTCACCCACCCATATTTGGCCTAGAAGTCAGTTATTTTCAATGATCTCTGTTTTGCTTTTTCAGCTAGAAAGAATTAAACACAGTTCACTGTAAATGTGAAACATCTCCTTTCCAATATTTAGACTGTACTGTAGAATAGATGAATTGTGACCTCTAATGGTGGTATTGAACATGTGCGGTTCCCAAGTACTCAGCTGTATTACCAAGGTGTTGGATCAGGTATTTACATATCCTGGGTAGGCCATAGAGTCATACAGCATAGAAACAGACCCTTTGGCCCAACTTGTCCATGCCCAGTTAAGTCCCATGTTTCTAACCCAAATTTCCACCCTGAGCTCAGGAATGATCTCGGGTAGGAGGGAATTAACCCATCGGAAATTTAAGCTTCTGAAGCAGGGTCGTAATAGACTCAAAATATTTCTCTGTTCGAATGTGACTCTGTTTCTCCCTCCACAGATGTTGCGAGACCTGCTGAGTTTCTCCATCATTTTGTGTTTGTTTTAGATGTTTAAGCTTCCCAGGCAATTACCAGAGGTTTTAATAATTTTCAAACATTCAGAACTATAAACAATCTGGAGACAGCACAAAAAGAGGCCGTTCAGTCCATTGTCTCTGCGCCAGCTGATAAATTAGCTACCCATTCTTATCCCTCTTATCAGCACCTTGTCTGTACCTTTACAGGTTACAGTGTTTCAAATTCAGATGCAGGTTACTTTTTAATGAGTTGACAGTTTACACGTTAACTACGAAACTGGACAGCAAATTCCAGACACCCACCACCCTTTGAGTGAAAAGACTTTTTCCTCCTCTCTAATCCTGTACTGCCCACCTTAAACCTGTGGTCCCTAGTAACTGATCTCTCTACTGGGGGAAGGGGTCTTACCTGTCCACTCTTATCCAAGCCCCTTTACTATTTTGTACACCACAATTAAGTAAACCCCAGCACTCCGATCCCGGCGTCTCCTCTGTTCTAAGGAAAACAGCCCTGACCTATCCAATCTTCCCTTGTTGCTGCAGTTTTCAAGGCATGATAACATTCTTGTAAATCTCCTCCATACTCTCTCTAGAGTATTTTTTTCTCTCCCTGTAATGTAGTGACTAGAACTGTGCACAGAATGTCACTGTGGCCTAACCAGTTTATTATATAGTTTCAGAACTATATCCCAGCTCATGTACTCAACATCTTGCTCAGTGAAGGAAAACATCCCATATGCCTTCCTTACCACCTTGTTTCCCTGTCCTCCCATCTTTAGGGACCTATTGGCATGCACTCCAAGGTCTTTCATTTCCTCTAACCTGCTCAATATCCTCCTGTTTATTATGCATTCCTCTGCCTTGATTGCCCTCTCCAAATGGAAAAGCTCACATCTCTGGATTGAATTCCATTTGCCACTTTTCAGCCTGCTCATCTAAGCCAAAGAGGTTTTCCTGCAGTTGACGGCAATCTATTTTTGAGCTCAGCTGATGTTGTTATTGGACAAGTCAGATCCCAAACTGAAATCTGGCTTAATTTTATTTATCAAGGTAGCTATTCACTGAAATGGAAGTACGCGATGCTGCAGATTTGGTTTCAATGATACAGAAATTTACCAAGCAAAAATAGAACGAAAATCAAATAAGAAACCAAGCTTTTTGCACAGTACATAATTTGAAAAATTTTGAAATGCACAGTACAGTGACAAGTCTATCACCTTGACTGTTCAGTACTCCCAACTGTAACATGCTACCTGCTTCCCTTCCTGAGTTAAAAAGCAAAGTAAGGCATGGAGATTGGCGGTCTTCCAGTAAGCACAAAGTAACTGTTTGCTAAGAAATAAATCTAGGAGCCAAAAAATACATTCTATTTCGATGAATGTGATGTGTATATGTCCCTGTGCGCAAAGTAACCATGCAGAAGCATGCAAGTTGTATTTTTCCCTGAGCTCCAAAGTGAGCTCTTGAACAAACGAAGAGGGAGTGAGTTGGACAGTGAGCACAGATGGTTGATGTGGTCAAACGGGTAGTTTGCTCATACCACATTTGTGGACCAAGGATGAAAGAAGATGTTGTCCATGGAGCAAGTGGGATGTTGTGAAAAAGACAGTGGGGAAGATCAATTGGCAAACAACAACCACCAGTTCCACATCTACAAGTTGGGAATTTATGCCGACGAGTTTCTCAGGAAAGGAGAATCAAAAGTGGTGTGGAAATAAGACAAGTTCAGTTAATAATGCGATGTGAAAGCATGGAAATAAGGTAGTTGCCTTGTGTTAGTAAGATTCTGAACTCACTACTGAAGTGTTTGAGGGGGAAAGTTGTGAAAATTGTTCGCCATGTTGAGATTCTTATTTTTCCATCCTCACCATACTTTCTCAGCCCTGGCCATGTCAAACCATGTCAATCCAGGGAGGGGAAAATTCTGCTCTGGAATGTTTCGCAGGGATACTGATTCATTTCCAGAAGAATGCTTATTATTAGGTAGGCCTGAATACATGTTGATTTGAAAATGTTTGGGTAATTCCTTAACAATTTTCTATCCGAATTTTTACTCATAGCCTCGTCCACCTTTTCAAATTTATCCTGGTTTAATTCCTTATCTCACTTGAATTTGATTTGAGATGTTGTTCCTTGGATGTGGAGACCGGAATTGCATGTCATCCAGAGATTGCCTTATGTGCAATTGCGGCAAGACTCACTTATTCTCGTGCTCCAATCACCCTGTAATAAAAGCCAATGTTGCTAATTGCTTGCTGCTCCGCACACTTTCAGCGTTCCTTGTACGAGTACAGCCAAGTCTCTCTCTAAGTTTTAAGTTTTAACTTTTAGAAATATCAGGGCTTTCAAATTGAATGAACTTAAAACTTAAAGCCCATTTTTTATTCTCTCTCTCTATCTGTTTATTCAAGCCGAGAACAGGACTGGAGAAGGATAATAGATGTGTAAAAGCTCCTGTGGAAACAGCACCCTGGAAAATTATGTTAACAAAACTGCTCTATAATCGTAATAGCATTTAGACTAAAAGAAAACACAGAGGTCCGGTATTGTATATATTTTTAATGAAGTCTGGGAGCCACAGGAACTACAACAATCCGTATGAAAAGAAGTTAATGCATAATTGGAAAATCATTTAGATTTTCATTTCACCATGCAAACCACATGTGTAAAGTTGAGGCAAAAAACCCTAATAAATACTAATTGAAAACTTAATGCAGGGAAAATTCAAATAATTCTATATATATATAATATATATATAAACATACCAGTGCAAATAGCAAAGTCCCCACCAGTGCACCATAGCTGACTTTTATGTAAGAATTCAAACAACTACCAGAGTGCTCAGCACACTTGATTTACAACAGTTTTTTTGGCAGTTTTTTTTTAACAAAAAAAAACAAAACAAAAAAAACAAAACAAAAATACAATCGCATATTGGAGGCAGAATAATTAATCCACATGAAACATTAACTGCTAATCACATTATTTAAAACAGTACCAGACCTGAAAAGTCTTTTCTCTTGTTATTTCTTATGATTTTCACCTAATCCCAAAGATAAATTGTATAAAAACAATTCCTAACAAATATTGTGCAAAAAACATTAGGAAAGTTTTATTTACATAATTTGTACCATTGAACACACACCATGACAGTGGCTTTTATAAATTAAGCCCATCACACAGTGGGTTGTTATAATTGTGGTTAGGATACTACTTTGAGCTTAGAATATGTCACAAGTATATTTCAGATGAATTTCCTTCACTGATCAAATTTGAAATACCGAAACATGTATGTGACACAGTGCAGTGAAATAAGTATCTCTTCAAGGATAAAGTTTAATAGTATATCACTGCAGTCTGATTGACAACATTGCATTGCAATTCAAAGCATACAATTTTAAATCTAGAATTAACTTTCCACAGTTTGTGATGTGGTACCATATTGTGTGTAATTATTGGATACATGTTATGCCACTGTTTTTGATCAGATCCAATATTTGACCTTGGTCAGTGTACATATGAAGACAGTGGGGATAACTTTTAATGTGTTGATGGCAGGAACCTTGGATCACCACTTTAGAAACTTGTACAGCAGTTGCATGCATGTATCATATATATGAGTTTCACTGTTAATGTGCAACGTTTCCTGCCATGCAGAGATTTGTACTCAGCATCTCAGTGGTATTCAGTAAAGTACCACACAGCACCGTTATCTTTTATTTGTTGCTGCTGATACTAGTTGGAAGTTAAAATGTCCTAAGATGTAAATGTTACTATGTTTATCATTTACAGTATGGATATTATATAACAAAATTCAATGACTATCAATTACTCACCATGTATCATCCAATTAAAATGTAAAGCATATTTTGTGAAACTGAAACAGTGAAGTTATATTTTGAAATCTGAAGGATTAATGGTGAAATTTCTGGGAAAATTGTCCATTTTTCTTTATAATTGACCATGCACAAATTAACTTGCTGTCTTAGAAATAATGCATTTTAAAGCCATGTATCTCCATGGTTTTTTAGTGTGTCAGTTACAGAGAAAAACAAGCACATTTTCTTTTTCTTTAAAAGTAGAAATTTCACTTCTGTAAAATGTAAACAATGAATGTACAGAACATTCATATTTTTCTGGAATATTGTCAAACTCACTCAATAGTGAGTTGATATTTCATATCATTTTGTGAGCAGATACTTCAGCTGTTCAATCCAAAAAGTACTGCTAAACAGAACAAATAACATTCACAGTGGACTTAAAT